GAGCCTGGAGCCTGTTTCCGATTCTGTGTCTCCCTCTCTCTCTGCCCCTCCCCCCGTTCATGCTCTGTCTCTCTCTGTCCCAAAAATAAATAAACGTTGAAAAAAAAAAAATTTTTTTAAAGGCCAGTTTGGTTCTGAGCAAAGACCAGCGGTCAGCTTTCTTTGGTCCCCTCCCTCCGTGATCCACCTCAAGCCCACTTCTCCCACCTCCTTCCTGGGAAAGCAGAGGATTCAGAGGCCCACAACGGCTGGGGCCTGTGGTGGGAACACACAGGGGCTAGGGAAAGCAAATCAAGAGCTGAACCTGATCCCCAAACCCCAGGGCACATCTGGTCCACCTCTAATGACAACTGGACTGGCGCCATGGGGCACGCAAGCACTCACGCGGTTGGCCGGTGAGCCATCTGGTACCGTGGTACCAGAGCCCGTTTAGCCAAAGCCTGAGCACTGGCCAGTCCTTCCTAATTTCCAGTCCAGAGGAATCCTGGACCAATTCCTAACAATAGTAGCTACTGGCACACGTCACGAGAGGAAACGCTCCACGTCTATCTCGCACTTTGTGGAGCTGGAAGAGGAGCGACTTACTTGAGGGGGTACATCCTCAGGGCCACGCCCATTCCAGGGCAGTAGGAAAGGAAGGCAGCAAGGGCCGTCTCTTCAAAGAGGCCGAATATTAAGATCTTGTTCCTAAAGAATCAAGGGGAGAGAAAGCTTAAGGACACAAACAGAAGTTTATCTTCGAAAGCCATCCATGCGTCAAAGGGCAGATCGAGGTCTCTGTGTAGGAGCTATACTCCGGAACATGAGGGCAGATGAAAAAAAAAAAAAAAAAAAAAATATCACAATTTGCTTCCTAAATCTCCAAAAGCGAGATTCCAGAAACTGCCATGTGTCAGGTGCCGGGGTTTTGCACAGAGTTGAGAAATCCCCAGACCCCTTGGGTGAGGGCCCCGAGCGTTCCCTACTCACTTCATCCCCTGCTGGAAGACGGAGTTCCTCCGGGTCTTACAGATGACCAGGTCAGCCCACTGCACCACCACGATGCTGACGAAGAAGGCCGTGTGGCAAGTGAACTCCACGATCTTCCTCTGTTCGTACGTCTGGGACACGGAAGGCAGCCAGGTAAGCTTGGCCCGTGGCCCGCACGGCCGGTGGCTGAGTGGCCACCGTCCCTCCCGGGGGCTGGAGGGTCCTCCCACTGGCCAGACCCGTGCTCACCCACTGCTGCCCGTAGCTGTCCTCTACGTCGTTGATCCAGCGGTCATCCCAGTCCACGCGGAGCCCCAGCAGGTGGGTCGGGAGGAAGCCGTTCTCAGCCAGGATCACGAAGTAAGTGAAGAAGCCTCCCAGCGCCTGGATCATCCCTGCAAGTGCGGAAAAACGCCTTTAACCTGGTCTGGGGCATCTGCACGCACTTCACCTGACTGCCTTCAGGGCGGTCTTGGTCACCAGTTGACAGATGACAGGGAGTATGGAGGACCACAGGGACACATCCCTCACCCAGCGCCCTCTTCTCTTTTTGAGTCACTTTTCAGAGCTTTAAAAGACGACACACAGGTCTCACTCGGAGACATGTGGCCCCCGGCTCTGACTTCATCATCTGCCTCTACCAGGGCACAGCCTTTCAGGGCAAAATGCTTCCCTATGTTTTAATCTCTGCTACACGGAGACTTCTTTCCCCATCTCCTTTTCCCACATTTGAAATAGTGAACGGGGCACTTTCTGACCCAACCCTCTCCCTCCTTCCTTTTCAGGGCCCTTCGCTTCTCCTCTGGCATCTGGTCTCGCCACACTGTCCTGAATTCCCCAGGGCACGTTCCCTCCTATGCTCCGGACCTCCTTAAAATGAGGTCTCCGAGACCACCTGGTAGCTCCACCGGTGGAGCAGAGACCAAGCCCGGTGCGGGGTCACCACGTGGTGGTGACTAGCCAGCCAAACTTTCAAGCTCATGCAACTTCGTCAAAGCCTAACTCTCTATCCAAATCCACGGCCAGTACTACGTACCCCCAGGAACGACTGCCTCTGAATGACCTGTGCCTGGCGGGCTGAGGGACCGCCGAGCCCAGGCTGAAGAACTACGGTT